GTGACCTTTGACCCAGAGAACATGCCTTTTGATCTGCTTTCACGAATTGGGCTTTGGGCGAGGTACCCCAATATGCTGCTCTCGTCTAACAGGGGCTGAATCGGGTAAAGGCCCTTTTACTGGTAATAAAAGGTTTTGTTCTTGCCCCCCCCCCCAAAAAAAAAAAAAAAAAACGAGTAGGGCAAGAGTCATAGCTCCGTGAGTCAGATTTCTGTTGTTGCAACGTGGAGGTTGCGATTTCTATTCCCTCCCCCCCCACGAGCTTTGGTGCTACCATCCTCAGCCGAACATAACCCACCCTGACCATGAATGTACACAAGCTACCTTTATGGCCTGATACAGTCGTAATGATGCATGCTTGTGACGATCTATCTTCTGATGGGCGCGACTTTCTGCAGAATGAACCTCGGAGCGGTCGGATGGGCCTAGCGGCTAATTGCATGAATGCCCCCATTCTTTTTTTTCCCCCTGTTTTGCGAGAACTTGGTCCCCCAGCTGTTGGTGGTCAGGACACGCCTTAGTGAGCGCAATAATAACAGTTGACGCGGCTTTTCCTTTTTCTTTTAGGAAATTTGGTCAGGGAACTTTGGCGCGATCTTCGCGCAGGGAAATCTTTTGAATTTTTTAACTCTTTGAAGAGAATACGGGGAACCGCGCGGGTGTTCGAAATTTCTTTTTGCAATTAGAACTCCAATTAGACTAGGATTTTGGCAACACTGTACTTTCGGTTGTAACTACACGATGCTTACTCGCGCGCCTGGCTGCGCTCTGTCTTGCACTCTGTTCCCGCCACGCTTCAAGTCTAATCGCAACTGTAATTTCCTCTCGTTCCTCTCTTGGCGAGTTCGGGTGTAGCTGTAATCTTCTCGCTCTTGACTTCTCTTTGCACCGAAACATGCGGCCCCTTTCCCTTCGTCTCATTGGCCAGAGCGGTGCATGATTGGATCGATGCCTAGAGAGTGGCTACGTCCCCCGCGCCACGGCCCAGGCATGCCGACCGTAGGCACCTTCTTCCTTTCTCTCTCCCCCTGCATTAGCGTAATCCCAGCTATTTCACGCACATGCTAATTGATATAAATTTTGCAAGCGTGACAAAATTATTCTCTAATATAAACGTGTGGAGTTAGCACGGTCGAGAGGATTGGCTACCGAGTATGGGCATGCATGGAGGTGAGTTCGGGCCTGGGCAATCCGACGAGCTGGTGGTGAGTTTGCGGGGTTGACGTGTGGCCGCAATGGACTGTGGGCCACGGGCGAACTTAGCGTGCGTACTCGGGCTAAGAGGGATGACAGCTCTGGGTTGTTAGTAGGTGCGAGGCGACGGACAGCCTGCATCCGAGTAAGGAGAAGGATGGTGAAGTGGTGAGAGCGCGCGGGTCACTCGGGTGTGTGTGAACTTTAGGAATTTTGGTTTGCGCTTGCGCCATTTTTTGCCTTCATAATTTTGGATTTTCTGTACGATTGTATGACTTACTACTCTCGTATTTCTTTCTTTTATGGATGATGTCATGAGTGATGATTCCGGTTGGATCATCCAATTTTTGCATGCATAATCCCCGTTTATGTCTGGAGATGGAATGATTGGGGAACGTAGGTGCACGCCTAGCCTTGGCCCATGGGAATTGAAGGGAAATAGAAGTTGGCCGCCTCGAGTTGCGTTACGAACGGATCTCGGGCCACTTGTATACGTTACAATCTGCCAGTAAACCGGCCCGTCCTGTGTACGCAAGGCACCCACGCCTGGGCTGTGTGATTGGTATACTTCTGCATGGGTAGGAACATGATTGCATTAAGGTGAATTCGTAGCTTGGAATTCAGTGTCCCTTTTGGAGTAACAGATCACGATTGCTTGAGGGACCGCGAGTACCTGGAATATTGGGGAAGCAAATACTTTCTCTCATCAATTGCAATCGGGGCTCCCCGACTTCCTGCAGCAGACGGGAGATGAGTGTGTATGTGAGTAGGATCCAGCAATACCCCAACACGCACGAGTTTCAGGTTTTCGCCGAGCCCAGGTTCGTCGTAATAGAAGCTGAGTTCCCTCTCCACCATCTTTCTCCCCTATCACCATGTAACCGCATACGGACACACCTTAACCACCAAACCCGACCGTCCTGAGTACCCGACCATGGAAGCTGCGAGCTGAGAAAGTCTCCTTTCTGTCCAAACCTCTTTGCATTTTGGTCCTTGGAACCTTGACACAGGAGATCCCAGTTCCAACCTTGGACTCCACCCCACTTTCCTAAAATCCTTGGCACACCCCCTTTTTCGCAATTTCGGCCCCGTCCCACTCCGATCATGAACTCGCACTGGGTGTGAGGTTAGGGCGTCACATGGTCATCTGCAGATGAGTGGTGCACATGTCCAAGGCGCGAGAGTGTGATCAACAAGACTCAAAACAAAATGATACAATGCAATGTAGCGCAGCGGAAGACTCGAAGATATGACCTGACACATCAGRTCCAGACTCTACTCACACAATCATCATCACACCTGTCACACATACATGGAAGGGAGGTCCCTCCTTGTGCACACACATGGCGAAGAAACCACGGATGATGAAGGGGAGGAGAGACAAAGATGGAGAGGGGAGAGAAGACAAGAGTAGAACTCATAGTCGTCCAAGAAAGTCTCCCCGTCAAATGTCCAGTCAATGTCCGTCCTCAAAATGTTGAATCAGATCCTCAGCGCACATAGGCCCGAAATGGTCACTGCCTGAAAGCTCTCTCTCTCTCTCTGAAGCGGAAGAAGAAAAGAGGGAGGAGGAGGAGAAGAACAAGAATAGTGGCTATGGAGGAGCGGAGAAAAGTCAGGAGAAGAAGAAGAACTCTCCTCTCTCACGCGCTCCTGATGACGATGTCACAAATACTGGCGAGCAAAGGTGATGACTCCCGATGCAGGTCACTGCTGAAGGCCGGTCCCATGACCGGTATGAAGTCCCAGCTATGGCGCCCAGG